AATCAGAAAATTATTTCTGAGTTCAGCATTTCCTTAGCCTCAGCATTTATTGTTCTGACTTGCTCTAAGGGAAAGGTGGCGGAGAGGAGCTTTCTGCTCTGCTATTTGGCGTATCTTTCCAAGTTAGTCCCTTAGTTTTCCTAACCCACCCTCTGTTGCACAGTGGAGTCACTGCAGAATTGAAAAGGTGCTGCTTGTGTTACTGGTAGAACTCTCTGAGGACTCTCTGACAAACAAGGCTACAGTCTGGCCATTTTGCTCTGCCTGATTGTTCTCAGTTCATTTGTGAAAAATAATGGCACTCCAAATCTTTCTGAATATTATCAGCTTCAAATTACAGAAGCATCCAACATGAGGAGTACTATATTTTGTGGCTTAAGTATTGAAAACAGACTAAATCTTGCTGTGTGCGCCTTCCCGTGCTTGCCTAAACCCCTGCAAGAAAGTTTAGTTTATGCTCTGACTGTTGCTTGGTTTTGTGTGTGTTTTGTTCCTCCCATCTACCTTTTGGAGGTTTGTTTTGTTTGACTCTGTTGTGTTTCATTGGCTAACCCTTCTGTGTTTTGCTCTTAGTTGTGTTTTGCATGCCATAGAGCTGGAAGTCCCCGAATGCATGAAATGATCAAAATGTCCATTGCACACCTCCTCGGGGCCCTGAGCTCTTGCATTTTTACTGGTGCTTCTTCATCAATGGCTTTTCAAAAGGTACCTTGCTCAGCCATTTTAGAACACAGGCCTTCTGTAAGATCGGAGCTCAAGTGGATAGTACTGTTGGTCATTAGCCAGCATGGGGAGGGGAGAGAAAAAGGAGAGATCAACCATGCTCTTTCCAGAAAGTCAGCCTACCTCTAAGAATGGTATTTCATCAATTAATTCAGGTACTCTAGAAAAAGACTTACAGCTCAAGAGAATGATCTCAGCAGCACTGGAATGGTTTGGCCTCTGCAAAGGGCTGTACATGGTTAACAGGGTTTAGGGGTTTTTGTCCGCTGGAGTTCAGGTGATAGCTGAATGATGGCCAGAGCTGGTCCAGGCCTTCTTTTAACTTACAAGACCATCTTCATCACTGACTGATTGATCTCAAGCTAAATAAAATCCCTTATTTTAGGGGGGTTATTACTTGGGGGATCTTGGAATCTTGAAAGAGGGCAACAAGAAAGAGAGACGTTGTTGATTCGGTCCCTTACATCCTGCAAATGCATTCAACTGTAACCTGTTCTAGTGTATTGTCAAAGGAGATAATCAGTCTCAGTTCATGTCATTTGCATAGTGTTTCTAGCATGAGATAATGAGAGATATACATAGACTTGACAAGCTTTGGAATTATATCTCTCAGTGTAGTTGGGAAATAAGGGAAAATAAGGCAAAAGCCATAATAAAGTGGCTTCCATGTGTGACGTCTTAGATCACTCACTTAAGATATAGTTTGTATCCCAGAAACTCAGTCATGCTTTCTTGTACTCATGGCTTTATTGAAATGCTGAGATGTGAAGTCACCCAAAGTGAGGAGGTCAAAAAGGTCTTAGGAACATACCTATGTTTTTTTCCACTCTGAACAAATGCAGAAATGCGCCAGCAACATGTTCATCATAAACTTTATAGCCTCGAGCCCACAGCCTTTCTTTCTTAGTCAATGGAATAGCTTGGTTTCATTTCAGTACGAGTTAGAAACCATCAAGAATCTTGTCCATGTGCCCGTGTCAGTACTGATTAGCCTATATAATCAGATCACTTCTATTTTTCCCCTCTTAAAAACCCATCCTTGTTAGGGAATTATAAAATTGGCTTTACATCGTATAATATCCTTCTCATTCAAAAACATACACCAGATGCATTTATGTATACTCTTCATGCATATAATTTACACTATTTTTTTTTAATTACTTTTTTCCCCACAGCTAGTTTAATCTATATTCATGGTTCTTCTCACTAGCTATATATCCGAATGATGGCAAAATAAAACCACAAAGACTGGGAAGTATGTGAACAGTCATTTACTTTAATTTTACGGTCATTGTTAATGATAAAACTCAGTGTAGGTCAAAGGACCAAAACTGCTTCTTCGGGTCACAGTCTGAGAAGATTGTATTGCACAGTTCTGTCGCAAACCCACTCAGCTCCATCAAGACTGTTAGCCACTTAGTAGTTACTGTGCAGTAGTTACAGTGGTTATTACAGTTATAGCAGCCCTTCCAGAGACCAACACCTCCCACAGAAAAGCTGATCAAGGACAGAAACTGCATTTTGCAGTGTGCTGTCTCCAGGATCCTAGCTGCGTTACGCTTTGGTGACTATTTGTGTAACATCATCTGGGGGCAAAAGTCAAGCACAACTCTGGTAACAGCACAGTGTCAAAAAACTGTGAGCAGCTGGGCACAGAGCTGGGAACTGGATGATCCATCAGTGTTCTTCATTGCTACCTTGGCTCCTGTGGGATCTCTGAGCTGAGGAGCCCTCGGGTTGATTGCCAGTTATTAAAAGGCAATTATTTGTGTTATTTATGGTAAAATACATTGTATTTTCTGTATTAGGCTTTCAGATGTGCTGCAGTATGTAATAATTAGTTATAGAAAAACTGGAAAACACCTGTACAACAGAAGCAACAACCTTAAAGAATTGGAGGGTATGTACATTGCAGATACAGACTTGCAGAGTGATAGTTACAAATAAGTATCTAGAAATGAACAATCGAGGCAGCATTTAGGGAAGGAACTATCTACAGAGCAAGACAAGTGCCAAAATCACTTGGGTTTGACAGAAGGGGAAGGAAGACTTTGCCAATTTTGCCTTACCATTCCTGCAGCTGTGAGACTAACTGATGAATTGCATGCTGCTTCTAGACGCTACTTACTCGGTTTTCCATGTTGCTGAAAACTTTTTATGTGCTAATAAAGCAATATGAAATAGTAAGGAAGGCTGACTATCTGCATGCGAGAGACCTTGGTATTCTCCTAAAATGTGTTACTGGTAAGTTACAGTTCATATCTATGTACTGCTATCTTGTTTCCTCATCAGGTTTGCATTGAGACATATGTATCTAGCTGTCACCAGCGGAGCATTAACACCGCTGTGCGGGCAACCCTCAGCCAAATGTTGAGTGACTTGACTTTACAGTTACGACAAAAGCAGGAAAATATGGTGAGCCTTCTGGCATCAACAAATGGTTCCACGTCCATGGCTGCAGTGTCTTGTACTGGCTTGTTGTGCCTTGTGGCTTTTATTTGACACTTCCACAATTAATCCTGTTAAAAAGCTTTTTTGGGCTCTGACTCCACGCCTGCCTCAGAGCAGTCTGTTGGAAACGCAGCTCTCATGTTGTCAGCTCTACTTGGCTGGTTATTTTTTTTCTCCTTCCATTAAACAAAAGAGGCTTTGTTCTGATGTCAGGCTGCCTTGGCCTTTTTCTTTTCCATTCTTTATTTTGTTTGCGTGTTTTCCTGAGGTTCACTGAAATCCACTTGCCAAAAGTTTTTGCATGACAAATAAACAAAACAAATGCTCAACTAAGGAAAGTGTAATTGAGGTTTTTCTTCTACTTTTTTGTAGAAGATAATTTAAGTTTATTAAAGTCTTTGGCTGTTAGCAAAAAAATATATTCTATTTATTGCATTATTAAAATCCATGAGAGCTGTTTGGGTGAAATCCCAGCACATTGTCAGCAAAACTGTAAATGTTCTGGGCACATGTGATATTACATTGGCTTCTTCCATTCGTCCATGCTGCTTTGTATATTATCGTATTATCAAAAACGTACTATTTGTAAAAGTCAGTTTCTGTTTATTAGGAAATTTTAAGGACTGCAGTTGTACAGATTATTTTCCTTACATCTGTTTTGGGTTAAAATGATCAATTCTATTTTGGACTATTAGAATAGATTACTTTTATCCTAATGAGCAACTGCAGAACAGAATTAATCGATTTACTTAAACCTATCTTCTGTCTGTACTAAGTAGATTCATTTTACTAGCCAAAACATTTACAAAAAGAACCCAAAAAAACAAAAAAAAAACCCCAAAACAAGTCAAAACCAGTAGTTTTGACATTTCAGTTTGGGTCTGAAAGTTGAATTTTGTTAGGTCTGTTCTTAGCTGAGGAGTAGGTGAAAGTATGAGAGCTGCACTTAGTTCCTGGCAGTTTGTTGTTGGTGCTTGAGAGGAGAATTTGACTTGACCCTTAGTGCACTGATAGGAAGAATCCTATACCGCAGCTGAACCAAATGATGTAAGAGGTCATTTCCATTTCCTGACTGCCATTAATTGTGTTGGCACTGTAACATTAACGATGACAATGTGATAAATGCTCTAATACTCAATTGATTTTGGTTTCTAAGTACTTTGTGAAATCCAGACTATGCTTTCCTCTCAGTTATTTTCAGTGAGACTTACGTGCCTAGTTATTACTGAGGTTTTTTAGGTGTAGGAAATCCCTTACGGACTTACAAATCCTAGTTCAGCTCAATGAGATGCGAGTTCCTTAAATCTAAATGACTGTTAAAACAGATCTTAAGGAATTTTTGAAAATGTTATGCAAAAGCTTCACTTAAAAAAACCTAACAAACAAAAAACCCAAAACAGATAGAGGACATGGATTTGTTAAGAAAGCTCTGCTGTGAAAGTACTGCTTTTACAGTGGTTTTCTACTGCTTCCACTGATTACACCACCATTGTCTTTCCTCAACAGCCAATTGAAAACCATGACGCCTTGCAGAAATTCAAGACTCAAGGTATTTGTACCACCTTTTTAGTGACTCCTTCCAATCCAGCTTTTTTATCCTTCACCTTCCTTTCATCATCACAGTACTGTTTGATGTCACAGGAATTACATCTTCAGGATTTCTTACCTTCTACATAGCTTGATGTTACCTGTGGTAAGAACTGAGACAGCCCTGTTAGTTCCTGGTATTTTCAGTTGTGTCTTCATTTGGACCATGGTAACAGCATTGCACTCAACATAGTAATAAATGATTGTTTCAAGGTGCTAACTTCTGTAATTAAGGAGTTTCAGTGCTCTGGAGAAAGTTTTAGTAAGTGGCTTTACTTCCTAAGTTGAAACAGATTCATAGAGTAGGATGTGGAATCTGGAAATGATTGTGTTATTGTATTTCAGGCCAGAGATGCGGTTTGTATAACAGCAGCTTTTGAAAGCGCATCACTAGCAAAGGTGTGTTCACGCTTGCCAAATTATTATTTTACAAGAGAATTGTTCCTACTCCTATTCTGGGTTAACTTCCACCATCTTCCCTGATAGGTAAAAATAATTCCTGCTTTTGATCTTCTTACTGGATTTCTGCAGGAGAACTTGTGTGGATGGAGGCTAAAATCTTTGAAGTGCACAAGTGTCCCCTGTTAAGTTCAGGACCTGGTCAGACATCAGAAGCTGTGTAGCAGAGACAAACTACAGGGAGAGTTACAGAAATTTTAGCTGCCATGTAGAAGTACTGGAGCCAGTCCCTTTTTTATTATTTATTTATATATTTATTTTATTATCTGAATTGGATTTCAGCTGATCTTCTGTAAATATGTATAAGCAATCAATGCTCTCTCCGGATTTAACACTACTGCTTTTTCATTGTGTGGAGATCACTTTCTAATCTAGGACTTTTCCTACTGCATCTTCTCTATGAATTTTGGCAGCCCTGCTCATTGTTTAGAAGCTCCAACCAACTCTGAAAGTCTATGCAGTGAACTGAGGTTGTAATCCAGCTGCACATATGTAATGCCTTTGATCTTTGTCCTTTTTGGAGGTACTTCAGCTGGGTCTCTTTGTGATGATGTTGTATCTGTCCTCACTGTGCTCTGTGAGAAGCTCCAGGCTGTCATAAAGTGAGTTATTTCAGTTTATAATTTGAATTTATTACCTGGAGATTCGGAGTGTCACTGATACATGCGTTTGTACTGTAGTAGTTCTGGGATTATGGAGCAAAGCTGTGCTGAAATGAAGTGTTATTAGAGGAAGTATTGTTCATGATGCATTAATTTAATCATCACTTGCGATGAGAAGCTAATTTGCCTTCTCTGTGCACTGTTCAGCTTTAAAGAGCTTCCAGGAAATCTAATCTATAAGTAACTCCCATAGAGCAGCAAAATACTTGTCAAAGGAGAAGTTCTCTTGTCTGGCTTGAAAGCAACCATTGTAGAGAGAACAACAATTACAAGAGACAGGGAAAAACCTAACAGAAACATTTAATATGCAGAATGAATTAGTATGTCCTTCTTAGAAAGGCAGCATTTATCTAATTGAAATAATTTGCATTACCAAAGCATTCCTTAAATTTAGGAATATCATACCCTCTACCTACTTGGAAATGCATGAGCCTGACTTTTAAAGTGCCGTTATTATGGGCAGTAATAGGGTATTACACTGCATTAAAATACTAGAGTCTCTTGTTGGCCAGTACTGTATCAGTAAATACTTACTCATGAGTTTAAAATTACTTCCTGTGGCATTCTAGCATGGCTCAACTAATGGTCTATTAAGAAATGAGCCAAAAAAAGCCTGAAGTGTTAGAGGTGACAAACTGGCCAAAAGCAATGCAAACATTATACAGCAATTATTTAAAAGCTAGAAATATAGCAAGCTGGAAATACTTTGAAAGTTTTAAGGGAAAAACAAGTTCTTTCTTGATGACATTGTTTCTGTGTCAGTAAAATAAGATTTAACTTGCTACTACTGCCAGTTGCAAATCACCTGAGTGGTAGCGAAAAAGCCAATCTGAAACTATTTTAAATGTAGCATAACGTTGTCTCTTTGGTTGGACTGTATGTCTCTGAAAGTAGCCTGTGATGAACTCGAGGAAATGGGAGAAATACAAAACAAGCATGCGTCGGTACTTCCTTTTATGTGCTCTACCATTTTCAGAAAGTCTATGGCTTAGGAGCTACCAGAGCCGAAGACAGCACAGACATCTTTGTGTGCAGTTATTCTATAGACTTTCCTCCCATGAGCATCTCTAATTACAGCAAGATTTGAATGGGAAGAGTGCCTTACTTAACATTATTTAATCAGTGACAGCATTTGGGAAAACAAAAGCATGTTTCTGAATCTTCTAAAGGAACAATTTTTTTTAGTTGTGTGCATAGTTACAGGACAATAAGAAGAGGTTTTCAAAGTGTGTCTCTAACAATAGCAAGTGGCAAAACCAGCTGAAAGATTAATTCTTTGTATCAAATTTTGCCCACATGTGAAGCTATAAACAGCTATCATCTGATAAGTATTGTCCACCAAATGATAATCACTTTGAGTTACTGGTTATGAAATATCAAAACTAAACTACCTGACAGGATCTCTCAAAATCACTGAAAGTCTTTTAAAAAACGGTCTGCAATCCCAGCTCCCCATAAAACTGTACTGAATTAGAACAGGTTGAGGCATGCTGTAGATAAAGTACAATAAGAAATTCAGAAGACTTAAAAATACTCACTGAGCCATGATTTACTTCATGCTTGTAACTATGTACCTAGACTGTTAGGATCTCTAATTATGTACAAAGCATAGTAAAGGAATCTGGTTGAACCTGAGGAAAATAAATTTAATTAGGATCGCTTGTTAAAGAACTAACTCCATGAATGAAAAGCCTTTATTTCTTTGGAGGCCAATTTTGGTATCTCCTTCAAAACACTTTGTTGGCAGCAACTTAACTTTCTAACCTCCAGGTCAGTGAGTGAGGTTTTAGTATGCTATACTGCCTGTTCTGATTCCTTAGTCTGAAGATTACTTTAAGTCCTCCTAAATTTCAAGTTTATTAGAATTTGGTTTTGAGGGAGGCACAGCTATGAGTGATGAGGAAGAGTTCAGGGAGGTGAATTTTTTGCTCGGGACCACTGGTGACTTTGCTGACTCTGGAATTTGTGGCAGCAGTGGTACGAACACAACAGCTACACTGAGGTGTGCAGGACTGCAATGTTCATTTCTTACTGCAGGAAAACAATTTGGTAGTAAGAGGCATCAGAGTAATCAAGAGTGCAGGGATGCCCTGTGCATGCCCATGCAAGTGTCAACTGCAAGATGTTGATGATCTGCATTAAGACGCATTGTAAGAAAAGCTGTCAGGAAAGAAGGCAATTGTATCTGGAATGTGTGTATCTTTCCAGATGGGTGTGGACTGTTGTGAGGAAAAGGCTATCACCTCTAAAATATATAACCAGCCAGCAGTTTTAAACCCTCCATAGCACAGAGTTAGAAACCTAGCTTCAAGCCTCGGGTTTCGTTATTTTCTGCATGGCATGTGAAACAGGTACTGTTCTACTTGGATGAAAATTCATTTATGTGAACAAAAGGAATTCAGGCAGTGGCAGAAGAGCAGACATTTCTCATTAGAATCATAGAATCATTAAGGTTGGAAAAGACCTCTAAGATAATTGAGTCCAACTGTCAACTCAACACCACTGTGTCCACTAAACCATGTCCCTAAGTGCCGCATCTACACGTCTTTTAAATACTTCCAGGGATGGGGACTCAACCACTTCCCTGGGCAGCCTGTTCCAATGTTTAACCACTCATTCCTTAATTTCAGTTAAGATAAATCCATTCTTTACAGCTTCCTTTACCTACCATCATACATCAGAAAATACATTTGTCCAGCTCTCATGTTGGACCGAAAAAGAATGATTAAATCCTAGTCGTCTTAGGAATGAAAACCAGAATGTGAGTGCAATTGGCATGGGGAACTCCTTTCATAAGGCAGACCTCAGCCTTGCTTGTCTCCTGAATCCTGCAGCTAATTCTGAGGGTAGGTACAAGCACATTGTATGTTACAAGTGCATCAATTCCAGGTGTCCACAGGATCTTTCACATTCTTTCTCATGAAGCTCACTTTGTGTTTATGGTTTTGACAGAGTAACTGGCAAGGCCCTGAAAGGTAGCCATGTCATCATGCGACTTTCTGCCTGTAGACATTGACTTTTGACCATTGTGGCTGTCACCAAGAAAAGAGAAAAAATAACCAGATGAGAGCAGCCTAAATGCCCTTCAGATTGCCTGAAGAAACTATCCAATAGTCCAAAATCTTCTGGTTGTCTCCTTTTCCTCTGTTTAAGGGCTGCTTCCTCCTCAAGTTTTTAGATTGAATTTGAATAATTATTTCTGTTTTCTTCTTCCTCTTTTTTTCACATAGATTTTTTTTTAATTCCTCACTCTGAAGTCTGATTAATTAAACTATTACTTACAAAAAGTAGCAGATAGCTGCATGTGATCAGTACAAAATAAATGGGATGATAAAAGTGATCACACCATTGTAAATCCATAGGAAGAATCAAAATAAATCACTGCTGTAAAATGCGGTATATTTTTTCAAGTGAACTACTGTAGTTATTTTAGAAAATTAAATAATCTTTGTGACGTGAATGGTATCTTTTCTTTTTGCCAGTGACAATCGGCAACTTCAGCTTCTTTACTTGGAGTGCATCCTCTCCATGTTAAACAGCTCCTCTCCGAGCATGCACCAGCACAAAGGATTCACTGATCTAATATGGTGAGTACATCTGAAGACTAATGCAACTATTCAGTTTGTAAGTATAAAAGGACCTTCTCCCCCCAGCCATGCAAACAAACCTGTAATAAATCTCCAGATGTGAGCAGAGCTCGCTGTTAACCTACTATCAGTTCATTCCGTGCCTCATATAAGATTGGTTAGGACCTCATGCTCAGCTAGCGCACTAAATCCCTGTAGTGAATTATCACTGTAATGAAGTCTAATGTATTTAGCCAGAACAGAAAATCTCTTACGCTTTCTGCAATTGTTTGGATTTGTGTGTGGCATTAAACACACAAATACTCTGCTTACCCTAGGAGGGTGCTGTAGAGATTCTTACTGCTCTGATGCAGTACTACAGGAAGATAAGCAGAATTAATGTCAGATGGTGTGCTGGTGACCAGAAATGCTTATGACCTGCATTGTATAAGGGCTGAGGCTAAATGGTCTTTGTGGTGCTTCCACTTTATCAAGAAATCCTCTTTTTAATACGCTTCACCAGAAAGGCATGATGTCTTTAGTGTTCGTATCTGCCTCTAAATTGTTTGATATCATCACCTTGGAGCACCTGAAATAATCCTTTTCCTTTGTTTTGTTTGCAATAGTGCTTTTTTAATAGCATATGGATAATTGAGTCATAGTAATAAAGCAAGAATGTAACTCATATGCAGTTCCTTGCAGTCCCTGCCCATTCTGTGACCTTGGCGGGTGATTGTGTTAAGAAAAGATATATGTGACTGTTAATGACAGATGTGTTTCTTGTGCTTTTACCCTGTAATTTTTGAAATGCAAGTGTTTGACTTGGGCCCAATTCTAAGGATGCAACATGCAGAGGCACCCATAATTTCCCTTGCTGTCCCAGGAAAATCAGTGGCTGCTGGACTGGAGGGTCTTCAGGTCGATAACACTTGGCAGTGTTGCATAGAGACCCTGTGCTGAGGCCTCTGGGAGCTCTAATGTAAAAGCAGAATTCTCTCTTTCATGGCAAACACATTTCAGAAGTTTCTGCCCTTGAATTTCACCCAACTCTCTGTTTATGCTTATGTGACCGACTGTGCGGCCATCCTATAAGCAAGGTCACTGAAATGATCTCGGTTAAAAGAAAATAATTCCTGTTTTATTTTAAATTTACATCATTTTCATCATCCAGTTTACGCTGCAAATCTACAGGTGTTTGTATTTGTAACTCTGTATCATGAAGGCAAGCCATCAGGGGCAGGACTTCTTAACCTGCATTGCGGCCAAGGAATATGCATCCTCCAGCTACATGCTTAAGATGAAGTGTGGGAGGGGGGAAAACCAAAACAAAACTACCACTAGGAAGACATGAAACAGTTTAAACTGCAAACATCATTTTGAATATATAGCAGTATAAGTACACACTTATCCATTAGCTGTCTAGTGAAGTTGCATACCAAACTGATAGTTGTCTTTGTTCTTTAAGGAGCTGTTGCCTACACGCACACAACTTTCTCTCTGGCTGGTACTTTGTAGTCAGTTCTCAACAGAAGATAAAGAAGGGAGGAGACGGAGAAGATTTAGCTCTGTGTTCTTCTGACAGTGTTCTCCGTAGTTTGATACAGAAGCACTTTGATGGGACTAAGATATGTGGGGAATATGTTGCTGTTGCAACCTGTGATTACTCCTGCTTCAAGACAGGCACGTTTCTTAAGCAGTGAATTGATATGTTTTGAAGTGTACCTGATTGGAGAAAGAAATGGAATAAGCAGACTCAAAGTCATTGTCTCATGTCTGATTAAAAGCTGTTTTTCTTTCTGTGACTTCAGGAAGCCGAGCTGTTTTAGCAGGCACATTAAGAGAAGCAATGAAAGTTCTGGGCTGCATAAAAGTCTTGAGAAAATAAGATGTACTTACCTATAAGAATGTGTTACTTTTTATGCTGAATCATTAGTTGTCATTGGGTGCTTGCTTTAGGCCCCAGCTTGAACCTCTGAGGCATGTGGGTGAAAATCAGGTCTGGGACTGCATTCTCATGCAGCACTTGGTTTTTTAAATTAGGGTCTTGCAGACTGAAGTAAAACATCAAGTGCATGAGTGCAAAGCTGAAGTAACAGCTAATGGAGCAAAGTGCTGAGTTGGGTTTGGCTCTGGTTCCACAGAAGAGTGATCTGCTGGTGTGGAATCACTTAACTTGAGTGTTCATGCAGAAAGACAGTGAAGAAAGGATGGTGTTTTTAGATTATAGTGGCATATGAGGAGTTACAACGCACACTCTGAGTTACTGTAGAGGGCTTTAATTATGTTCTCAAAAGCCAGCAGAACAGAGGCTCATAACTAAGGGTGCTTTCTAAAATACAGGCATGTGCAGTTCAGTGATGAAGCATCAGGCCTTCTAGTTAACATAGACTGGTTTTTGTTTGGTCAGGTTTTTTTAAAGCTCCCAAGTCGGACTGAAGAAGAAACACTTGACAGGAGAAACCTAGAACTTCTACCTTGTGATAGGTTGCAGCCAATGAAAGAGGCAGCCACGCTATCATGTAAAGGGCAGCACTGTGCAGCAACATGAACTTGCAAAATCAGTACCATGTTTATAAAGCACCCAAAAGTATTTCCATATGTACTAGCATGCTGATGCTTGGGAGATGAAAAATGTGTGGTGTAATTTGTTGTTCTATCTAGCCACTGCTGTTGACTGATCATTACAACCAGACTGTGTATCTCATTTAACCGTGGGCTATTTTCCATCTGTTCCTGTGAGATTTTTTTTTTTCAGTTACCATCTGCTGCTTTTCTCTTTTTCTCAGGAAGCAACTGTGTCCAGCCCTAGTAGTAATTCTGGGAAATCCAATCCATGACAAAACTATCACCTCTGCCCACAGCAGCATCTGCCTTGAGGCTGATTCACCTTCCTCAGGGATCTCTGATCATGGCCGGGGTTCAGGTTGTTCCTCCACAGCACCTGCCCTTAGTGGGCCAGTTGCACGGACCATATATTATATTGCAGCAGAACTGGTTCGACTGGTGGGGACAGTGGAATCCATGAAGCCTGTGCTGCAGTCTCTCTATCACCGGATACTGCTTTATCCACCACCTCAGCACCGAGTAGAAGCCATCAAAATTATGAAAGAGGTAGGGTAATCACACGTGCAAATCCAGGCATGTAAAGCAAAATGTTTATTTAACAGTAAATGTTGCTGATAGGTGCATCCCAGTCCATTCCATACCTTAGCACTAGGGATGTTGAAATCACCCTTTCTGAGCACAGCTGTTTACATCAAAGCCACTCTGATAAATATTTTTCGTTTTACAAAGTCATAATAGCTATATTTGTCTCCATAACGCAAGCTGCTATGGCAACTCCGTCAGTGTTCATGCTGTGGTACTGCGTAGAGCAGATCTTATCACTGAGTCATGACTGCTCTTTTGGGTGAGATACAGTATAGTGATCCAGTTCTCAACTTCTTTGGCATCTTTCCCCACTCTCTGCTCTTGCTAGAAGGAGACATTCATTTGCACACTGTAGTATTCCAGGCATTAAGGTGAATATGTGCTTTGATTACGTGCCAGGTTTTTGAAATACAGTTTCCTTGAGCTTTATTAGAATAGCCACAAGGAAGCTGCCGATGTCGTAAGTGGCCATGTCAAGACCAGTCCATTCTGGCCTCTTGGCCAGTGCCTCTGACAGCACTAGAACTGGAGCATTGTGGGACTTCTTTGAGCAGCAGCTGAAATCATGGGCTTTTCCATTTCACATGTGCAGCCTTCTTCTCATGTGGAACACAAGGCAACTTAACGTAATTTGTAGGAACAGTGATCTCTGTCAGAGGACTTTTGTTCTAGCTTGCATGTACCTAGGCTGTTCTGTGTCTGAAAATCTCTCCTACCACCACACAGCCACCCACTGGGTTGTTGTCCGAACTGGTAGTCACCCTGGCACTTGTCTTCCTCTAATTTTAAACAATAGCAAGATGACAATTGAAGTTTTAGGAAAAGCTCAGTCTAATGTTGTTTCCTGCAGGACATATCTGTTGCCTCTTTCTGCTTATTAATATGGGCTTGTTTGTAAAGCCTTCTCCTTGTATTTCCTGGTGGGCATTAACAGGACGTCACCCGGCAGGTTGAGTCAGAAGGAATCTCTTTGCTTATCTTTGCGTGACTCTATCACTTTGTAACTGGGTGACTGAAGAGAAAGGCTCCCTTTGGTGTATATAATATAATGCAAGATATTTGCTCTATATTTAGGCATAAAGATTGTCTTGTGTGCGGTATCAGTTGAAACATTTTCAGTCAAAAGTGTAAAGCACTGGAGAACATTCTATATGTGATTCTTATTGAATATTCTGCTCTTCTTTATTTGCTTTTCTGCCCTTAAAAAGAGGAAAGGTAGCTTTAGTAAGTAGAACATCAGTGTGCTGTTTTCCTTTGCTGTGAGAAATTACAGTACTGCTACCTTGGGTTCCAGGGCTTGATAGAACTATGACTCATTTATTGTATTTAAATAATGCTTAGATAATCCTCTAGTAACTTCTGTTTCCTTTCCTTTCAGATACTTGGCAGTCCTCAGCGGCTTTGTGATTTGGCAGGGCCCTGCTCTTCTGAGTCAGAATCCAGGAAGAGGTCTATTTCTAAAAGGAAGTCCCATCTGGATCTTCTCAAACTGTACGCTTTGTTTCCTCCTGTGGCCTCTTCTCTCTTAAACCTGTGCACACAAGACACTTAAACAGTTGTACCTTCAGAAGCATACCCAAATATGAGCCAGGGTATCTCCCTTGTTAAATAAGCTGTGAAAATGGAAGAGGGGTAAAAGCTCTTACTGGTTTGTCATCAGTCTGGGCCTGTTTGTAAAGGCATAGAAAACTACCTTGTGGAGTTTGCCAAAATACCCAAATATGTTGGTTTACAGCTGGAAATTCTTGGGTTTGGGTCCCTAACCTTGCAATGAAATAACTGTGTGCTTATTTAGAGGTACATTTCCAAGATGAAGTCAAAGGAGGTAATCAAAAATTTAAACATTGTTAGATTGAGCAAGAAGGATTCTCAGTTCTTATAAAGATCATATCTTGTGGATAAGATAATTTTCAGGACACAGATGGCTTTAAATGTAGCTTCAGTTGGGTGTTGAGGTTTTTTTCAGTGTAAGTGCTTGTCTGTAAGGGCAAACATGCCGTGCATGCTGCTACAAAGGCACAGTAACTGTTTCCCTGGTTGGCACTCCCTTTACAGAATGTCCATGTCCACATGGGAGACATAATAATTTGTTCTAATACTAGTTGTCTTTCTCAGGAGTAGTCTTACAGGATAATTTCACTTCTTTTTTTACTGGTTATGGAGGAATGGTGTTGGATGATAGTGACGTGCTCACTGTATGTGCTGCATCACTTAAATAAACTCTGTTTTAATTCTAGTATCATGGACGGGATGACAGAAGCGTGCATCAAAGGTGGTATTGAAGCATGTTATGCTTCAGTGTCCTGCGTCTTTGCCCTGCTTGGAGCATTAGATGAGCTGAGCCAAGGGAGGGGTCTTAGTGAAGAGCAGATCCAGCTGCTGCTCCGGCGCTTAGAAGAATTGAAGGATGGGACCGAGACGAGCAGGGACTCCATGGAGATCAATGATGCCGACTTTAGGTGGCAGAGGCGCGTCCTGTCCTCAGAAAATCCTGCCTGGGAATCCGGAAATGAGAAGAGTCCTGATATTAGCATTAGCGTTACCACAGACACTGGTCAGACCACTTTGGAAGGGGATATGGGACAGACAACTCCAGAGGATAACCCAGAAAGTCAAAAAAACTCACTGCCATCTCCTGCTGGACACGAAAGCAAAGAGATACGTTACAGAGAACCAGAGTCAGAAACCATCGACCAGCCAGATGTTGTCCAGAGAAGCCACACCATAGTCTATCCAGATATAACTAACTTCTTATCAGTTGATTGCAAGACCCGATCCTATGGATCCAGATACAGTGAAAGTAACTTCAGTGTAGATGACCAGGATCTTTCTAGGACTGAGTTTGATTCATGCGATCAGTATTCCATGGCAGCAGAGAAGGACTCAGGCAGGTCAGATGTCTCAGACATAGGCTCTGACAATTGCTCCCTGGCTGATGAGGAGCAGATGCCACGGGATTGTCCAGGTCACAGGTCCTTACGTACTGCTGCTCTCTCTCTGAAATTGCTGAAAAACCAAGAAGCAGACCAGCACAGTGCACGGCTGTTCATCCAGTCACTTGAAGCTCTTCTTCCTCGGCTTATAGCTCTTCCCAGCATAGAGGAGGTGGATGGAGCACTGCAGAGCTTCTCTTCAACCTTTTGCTCAGGTTTGCAAGCAAATATTTACTGTCTAACCAGCACGCATGCTGTGACAGCACTGTACACAGATTCTTTTGTAGGATTTCATCTTCAGAGAACATATCCAGAATGAGGAGGGTTGTGCTTTACAAAGCACATTCCTCTACAGCAGCACACTTCATTTAGGGCAAAGCAAATTGAATATACAGGCACTGATTCAAAGGGAGGTCAATCCATTAACTCTTAACAAGCTCTGGATTACGTCCTCAGTCAACAGAGAAATCGAATTTTCTGTAGTAAGATACCTCTTCACAGGTTTGTGAAGATCTGTTGAGAAGATTTGCACATGCTGTCATTAAAGAGAGGTTGGGGTTGCCCCTTAGCATGAAAAGGGTGTGGGGAGGACCATCAGCTGTTTTGAAAGAGATTTAAGTAGCTTAGTACATCACTGCATTAGTATTAGTAATGCCAGCCTTGCAAAGAAGGTGGTAAAAATTCCACAGCAGTAAGCTCTTGAAAGGATAAGAAAAGAGCGACTCTCTTCTTCACTCTTTTGTTTTTCTTAATACTGCTATCTATCATTACAGGAAATGCAAAGCTCAAAGCCCAGACCAAGTGAAAAATAGTTGAAGATCTTACCTTTTAAGAGATTAAATACCTGCAGTTCTTTCAGGGTTAGAACCTTTGGGATCTTGACTTGGTCAATCAAACAAAAAAATGCAATGCAAAGGCTAGTTTGTCCTGTTGATAGTATACTTAAAATGTGTATAAATATATATATTTTTAGAAAGGTTTCTTTTTCCTGACAGTGGCCAAAGTGGAAATGTTTGTTAAAATATATTTCTCTGTTTCTTTAACTTAATTCACAATTGCCTTTCCTATTGCTCCTCTCCTAATCATTGCTTCATTCACTTGTGCTCTCTCACACACATTAAATTCATACAGAGTCAGAAAGGATGCCTCCCATCATCATACACATTAATTTAGATATGAAGCTGGGTGAATAAGCTGATATTCCTGATATCCTGTTTAAATGCCGTTCAAATAAGCCCTAACTCAGGGAAATGGTAGATGACATTCTTAAGAAACGTTGGCCATGTTAGATCACAGAACGGAGATACCTTAAAGGGGACATTAATGTTAATCACATTCCTAATTGAGGTGCTCAAAAGCATCCTTTCTGGCACAAGGGATTTCTTTTTCCTGAAAAAGAGTGAGGTTAAGCCAAAAGACCAGGACTAGAACTCTAGCTCAAACTCTTGTGCACCTGTTCCCTCATGCATGAGTATACCACTTCTTTTCTCTTTTGCCTGTCAAATCCCTTTAGAACATTTTTAAGTGTTGGAAGAGGTAGACCTGACAGACTTCTAGATTTTAAGGCTAAACGTGGCTTTTGTTGTCATTCAGTATGACTAATACAGTGAGAGAGATGGAAGAATATAACTCGATTTCTGCATTAAGTCCTTAATTTCTGGGCTGTACATCTCTTAAAAAGATACCTAGTCTTGGACTTGAGGAAGACCTTTCACTTTTCTAAGAAAGCCACCCCCATGGCTAAATCTGTACTCAAAAACGTGTATCATGTTTCCAGTGTGATTTCGTGAAGTATTCTTAGAAGATGCCACTCAGTAAGGGATCATGGAAAAATATAGTAGCAAGTTACTGTATTATTGTAGCTTGGAAGAGGTATTCTGGTGTTTTCATAGAGCTGTGGCTGTTAGAGGTGTAATTTTATGCTCTCACAAGATCTGTGCAGATCATGTTTCAGTTGGACACCTGGAGTGAGACTCAATCCAGCTGAAACAGTCTCTTAACTTGTACCTCAGATCTTAAGCAAAAGTCCATCAGTCCTTCTGAGGTGAGGATTTGTGTTCCTGTGTAGGTGAGAGAGGCGTGAGTTTGAAGACCTGTAGAGAGAGAGGCTTACTAAAGTTGAAACACATCTGGGGTAGGAACTCCCCTGGAGAGCCTCCGAGACACCAGTCTGATCTGCCTCTATAGGCAACATTTGAGTCCTTACTTTAGGACTCCTTCATTAGCACCAACAATTCAATGCACAAATTAGATGATGAAGTTAGAGGAGCGGGTCCTATTCATTGTATGTATAGCATCTATTAATGTATAATTCCTGAAGAATACATTAGGAAATTTGAGTATTTGTTAAGATTTGAGTTGAGAAAAGAGACAGGTGCAGTTCTGAGACCAGCCAGTACAGAAGCAGTATTTTTGTGTTTCTGAGAGACCTTATTTAACTGCTTTGTTCTATTCTTCAATTTTTCTTACACTTTAGGGGAAAAATACATTAGCTACAATTTAGGAGTCTTTCCTACAGGCTAGGTCCTTAAATAGTGTTGTAATACTATTATGTTTTCATAGGATTGAAAAACAATGAAAGGAGGTAGGAATTTGAGGCACTGGCATAAGAGTATAAGCATGGAAAAAGTGAAGTCTGCTAAGCAGAGTTATGGTGAAATTAAGATTTGGAAGTCAGTTGGTTAAAAGCCTTCCTAGTCTACAGTTTTCATCTTTCCTCAGAAAGTTCCTCCTTGTTGCTAGATAAAACCAATACCAAAAAATCCTTAGGGACACTGGAGTGTGATGTCTATCTTAAAAAATACTGAATTATCTAAAAATTCTAAACATTATCTTGACTTGCACAAAACTTTAAGTTTGTGTTTTTTCAGGACCTCCTTTTACCTGGCTAATTTAAATAAACTGTTGTCTCTGCTAAGACGGTGTGCTAACCTCATTGTTTATTATAGCTGGCAGATTTTTATAATTAAAGTTGATGATTGGTATTCTCTTAATTTGGACATAACTCTTAATTTGGATATAACTATTCTCATGAACTGCAGTGTCAAGTCATTAATTCTAAAAATAGTGTGCCATTGTGTGAATAATAGCAAACATTTTTAGCACCTATTTTCAGTTTTGATTCTGTAGCTTTTAGTGGCAAGGTTTTTATGTTGTTAAGCATCATTGCAAGTTTATGCATCAGCTAATCTGCTTTTGAGATCTCAGCACCTCTCAAACACAGTTGTTTATTTTCCCATATTTTAGAGGAAATTAGGGACAATATTTTTCCCAAACACTTTTGGGTGCTCAAATACATACCCACTATGTAGTAGCCACTTTTACGTGCAGTTATACACCTTCCTTTTTAATTGTAGTCTTGTATAGGAGGCTGCACAGTTTTTAAAATATTTTAATGCAAAAGATAGTGGGCTTTCTTTTTTTCTTTTACGTACCTCTCTGCCTTGATGTTTTTATTACTCTAGGAGATTCTAGTCCCTGAGGTACATAGTTAAGAGAGATAAGGCATCAAATCAATGTATTCTAGCTACATCAATATCATGATACTCCATCCAACAAAGTGTTAAGATGCATCTTTGCCTTAAGTGATGAAGGAGTCACTGGAGCCACTCACAGGCTACTTTCAAGCACGTGGTTGCAGTTTTGGTACTAGGTAAAGATTCTCTGTTAACGTTCACCACGAGGAATCTACCCCAAGCACACGCCAACCCGTGTGCGTATGGTTTGTGGCCAGCCCTATCACCCCTCTTCCACAAAGGTTGCTCCCTTGAACAGCTATTCATTTTTTAGACCCACCCTGGAACAGTTACTCTCTTTCTAAATCCGCCCTCAAACAGTTACTCACCTTATCCACGCCCCCAAAGTGACGACAGTGGAAAGTCCGAGAAGGCAGCAGCACAGAGCTTTCAAACCCTCACGAGGCAAGAAAAACATTTGCTTCTTTTCTGTGTGTGGATTTTTTTTTTTTAATGTTAATGGTTTGTTGTATTTTGTCTAAGAAGAGGCATGAGCTTTATGGTGGGAGGAATATATTCACAGTAAACCACTGCAGCAGTTAACAAATGACACAGCTTACTTCATCATGTAACTAACCTCGGAAGCTGGTTTTTTGTTTCATTTCAAACGTTCCTCTAGGATAAAGCTTACTCCTTAATCTTACCTAATTGTCGTTATATGAATGGATTTCACAGTTGATGTGAAAACCATGAAATATTGTGGGTCCTGTGGGGGGGTCTAATATTTCTGGTTTTTTCATGGCTCAAACTACAGATCATGGGGATTCAATTAGGTATTGCTCATACTTGATTTATGTTTTTCTACCAGTAGGTCAGCTAACTCAGAGGAAAATGTATGTGCCGTCCATCCTACCTGGGAAGAAGGGATTGTGCCACTGGGCATGGTTGTAGGCTGTCGTTTCATACAAATAGCATTTTCAGTAGTACTGAGCGCTTACAGGTGGCTTATGGGTCTGACAGACCTGCAAGTGCTCAGCTATCTAGAAAGCAGGTCTTGTATGAACTAAACAGGGCTTGGAGTTGTAACGAGTTCCAGCCAGCCTGGCCCGAAATATTTGTCCACATACCTCTAGGCCATGGAGAGAATGATGATTACAGCCTGATCCTACAAGGCGCTGAACACTCCAGTCCCCATCCAACAACTCACTTAGCCAGGGCAGATTTACTGGTGGATTAAAAGGGCTGTCACCTTCATTAGCACCATTTGTTGCAATGTATGCTCAGTTAAGTATGCAGGCTTTGCCTCTGCCCCTTCCCACCTCACCTTTCCAGTTAGCATTGCAGATGTATCCTGCCTTTTTTTTTGGTACCTGGCAGTCATCCCAATGAATGCCGGTGCTCCTTGTGTATTTCAAATTTAGCATGTTGTGGACTGTGACTGGAGTGTTCAGTTTGACTTGCAGCACTGCATTCTAGATGGACTACTTATTTTTCTGTTCCCTATTCTGGTACATTTAGTAGAGTAATTTCTACTGATGATTCATTAACTATTCTAGCAATCTGTTGCTGCTGAAATGCTAGGGTTAGTTTCTGATTTTTTTTTTTCCAGGCAAAATCTGTGTAAAATGTGAGAGCTCACATGGTGTTTTTGTTAGGTATGATGCACTCACCAGGATTTGAGGGAAGCCTAAATTTCAGCTTCCAGACTCTGATGAATGCAGATAGTCTCTACATGGTCTCACATTACACTCTGCTGCTCAACCTAAAATTGGCCAACTCGGATTACTACAGGAAGAAGCCTGCCCAAGCCCCTGTGTTGCTGGTGAGTTGGGGAATATAGGAAAACCATTAAAAAAAGAAAATTTGTTTTGCTTCCTTTCACATAAAACAGCCCACATGTAAAGCCTTCAGGCTGCTTGCTAAGTGGAGAAATAATAATTGCAAATGAAGCTTTCTCCAAGCTGCTTATGAATCTTGCACGATAAATGTCATGCATCTGAATTACACAGCTTCACTGTAATTTGGGGAGGAATGAATGCTGCTTACTGATTATCATTAAAGTATCAGTCATTTTGATGGATACTCTATCTTCAGAACAGAGCTTCATCAGCATCATGTGATGCAGCAAGTATTGTTCGTGCACGTTATCAGGGGACATACCTTCATCTCACAACTACTTTTGAGCATAATGACAAATTTCTTGCTTAACACTTAATTTGTGTTAAGCAAGATGAAGACATGAGAAGTTAGAGTGAAAAATAGTTAGGTTTTAGTAATATGAACTGATGATTTTTGTGGCACCTGGGATTCCTCAACTTCTTGGGCTTTTTAAAAACTGTTTTGCAGGCTGCAGGACTTATAAAACATTAATCTATGTTTTTCAAATAAGTTGCCCAAGAGAAGTAATTTCACAGTTTTCCTAAAAATAAAGTAATCGGTGATATATGGAACAAAAAAATGAAAAACAAAAAAATTCTGTCAAAATGTACCATTATTGCTGAGCTTCCCATGTGAGAGCATTTATATTCTAGAAGACCTCAGAAACAAGTGGGTTTTAACATCATCAGTTCTGGTATGTTCTTCAGCAGCTGCGAGACCAAATCTGTGACTCAGGACCTTCTGTAGGGGCAGCACTGTGCACAACAGGCCTGAACATGACCTAAGTATTGTTGAAAATAGTTAAGATATCTATTCACAGGATATCTATATAGTTAAGATAAAATAGTTGAAAATAGTTAAGATACCTATTCACTGGACCCCAGTTCACCTCTGGTGACTGTTCAACGCAGAAGGGCCTGATTGTTGGACAGGCAGCATTAGGTGCCACAACTTATTTTATTGGAATTGAGATCCTACCCCTACCTTGTAGAAATAGTGAGAGATCAGCATGTCCCATTGTCACTGTGCAAGAACTGTCATTATGATTTGCATCTTGCATGAACTGCAGTAAGAGAAGGGAAAGCTCCTTGTTCATGTGGCTCATGAGCCATTAACTCCACCATAGACACACATTGGTTAATTCTTATTTTTGCATAACTTCATTTCTCCTCCTGCATTCCCTTATGCTCAGGAGTATATCTAGGGGCTGAGGCTCATGCTGTAGAGCTTACTGTTGTCTTACATCTGGAAGGGAAAGTTCCTTGTTCATGTCATTCTCCACCATAGACACACATTGCGATCCTTGGTTAATTCTTATTTTTGCATAACTTCATTTCTACTCCTGCATTCCCTTACGCTCAGGAGTATATCTAGGGGCTGAGGCTCATGCTGTAGAGCTTACTGTTGTCTTACATCTGGCTTTTATGGTTCTCTGCAGAAGGAGTTCATGAAGCAGGTCCAGTCCAGTGGAGTGTTGATGGTATTTTCCCAGGCCTGGGTTGAAGAACTGTACCACCAAGTACTAGAAAGGAACATGCTGGGGGAAGCTGGATACTGGGGAAGCCCTGAAGAGCACAGCCTTCCACTTATCACCATGCTGACCGGTCAGTACTACGTTATGGTGGCAAGGCTAAGTTCCAAACACGTGTCTAAAACAAGCTACATTAACATGCTGCTTCATTGCATTACATACAGAACAGCATGTCATCATGCAACATGTGGTGTTTCACGAAATTACTGGTAGAGAAGGAATCAGATTTAACTGTGGCAGGTACTTAAGTGTTTGTTTTGGATCAGACAGAAAGCTTTTGAAGCATGGGTTTAAAAACAAACCGTCCCTGGGAGACAGGGAGAGTGAATTTGTTCACTGAACCAAAACATCTCTTAACTCTGTCAGCTTCAGTTCTAGTAGACTTGGTACCTGTTAATGATAAGTGGTAAGGCTGCTGTTTTCTTGATGTCATAGCAACACCATTTCAGTGTGCCTGTGGTGCAGTACAAATATAAATAGTGGCATCTGATCCTGGAAGCCTTCCACAGATTGGGCTCCCCTTGGTTCAGATTTGTGCTATGCCAGGGATATGCCAAATGGTGCTAGAGAGAAGCTGATAACCTGGAGCCCCTCTAACAAATTCTTCAAAACAGTCCTTAGCTTCATTTGAGGAAAAAATCAAATGGTATCAGCTGAAAGGCAGCAGGATGTCTATGATATTGTTTTGATATAAAATGCACTGTCTGCTTGAATGTGTATACTGTATGGTTACACAGAGGTAATTAAAAGTGTATGCCGGGAGAACGCTGGCTTCAGCTGAGCCATTAACTGGTAATCAAAGGGCACTGCTCTGAAAGTTTTTTGCTGATTGTATTGAGCTCAGTGTTGCTTTTCGCTATTGAGCTGGGAAGCTGAAAGAAACATTTTTGAAAAACAATAGCCATGAAGTATGTGGAGAAGAGACAGACAGACAGGGGCTGCTAGAAAGGAAATCAACCTGATGTCCCTAACATTAAACTCTCTGTGAGAAGCTGGTCTTTTGTTGTGTTGGAGAAAAGGTGGTATTTCTTTTGTTGAGATTGAACCTACATAGGTCTACTAAAAATTGCATTTAGGACATAGGATCCCGGTGCAACTTGAGGACTCAGACTGAGGTCTGGGAAACTCTAGATATAGGATTTAGCAAGATTTGAAAGGTTATACTAAGAAACGTGGAGATTTAAGGGTGTGGGAAGTTCTGAACTGTAAGAAATACCATGAAATCTTTGCTGAGAGTTCTGTTGACTGTATAACTTCGAGGGCGGGGGCGTGCAGCTTTTGAGAGTGGGATATTTCCCATCTTCAAGAAAACGTTGGTTATATGGGGCAGATCATAAGATGCTGCAGTTCATGTTTATGCCAAGGCTTCAGAAGGCTGCCAGAAAAGAGCAACTAAAAAGCATACCTGAGAAGTCAGGAGCACTAGTACATATTTGAACAAAGAGCCAGCAGGAGATGCTTTCCTTATACCATCTGCGTGTCAAATAGTAATCTGTTGTTTTTCAATGTTCTGGCAGACATCGATGGCTTGGGAAGCAGTGCAATTGGTGGCCAATTGATGGCATCTCCTTCAGCTCAATCTCCTCTTTCCCAAAACCGGAAGACAGATGATTCTGTTGTTGCAGGTATTAAGACTGTATCGTAAGCACGAGTGGGTTGTTACACACCATAAGCATATTCAGATAGATTGTATTTTAGAAGAACAATTTAAGGGTTGAGGGAAGTATGTCAGTACATCCTACACATGAATTGGTAGTCCAGCATGAAGAGGACTTGATTTTTTACCACTGATGATAAAGCTGCTGTTGTGTCATTTTCCAGTAGTAGCAGTAATGTATTTATCACTCCAGGAGTTGCTTTTGCCCGATACCTTTTAATCGGCTGTTGGAAGAACTTGATTGATACTTTGTCCACACCACTGACTGGCCGCATGGCAGGCAGCTCCAAGGGGCTGGCCTTCATCTTGGGAGCAGAAGGAGCCAAGGAGCAGAACCAAAAGGAGAAGGACTCCATCTGTGTGAGCCTGGACGGACTGAGGAGGGCAGCCCGGCTGAGCTGTGCTCTAGGTACTGCTGCATGTGGGATGTCATGGCAGACTCATAAAACAGGATGGTAACTTTCCTTGAAGGAATTTGGGAGAGAGAAAAGCAGCATCCTGTTCCAGTCTTGGATGGGAACCTGGACTGTAGGACTCCCCATAGAGCCCACCTGCCCTGCAGCATAGACATATACAACCAACTTTCCTTGACACAACCTGTTGTTGAGGTTGCATGGGATTGGGGAGGAAATGCTGGTTAAACAGTAATTGTGCTGTTGCTTTACAGGAGTTGCTGCTAACTGTGCATCTGCTCTTGCCCAAATGGCTGCTGCCTCCTGTGTCCAAGAAGAGAAAGAGGAAAAAGAAATCCAAGAGCCCAGTGATACTATAGCTCAAGGTAACTATCTGATTAAATTACCTACCTTATCTCATATTGCCTGCAAAGATGCAACTGGAAAGTACTTTGCTACACATAGAAGAAGGACTGCGGGGAAGAGAGGAATGCCAGTACTGTGCACCACTCGCTTGTAGGCATGTGGGATGTATGTCTAGAGGCTTCAGTATATGTCCTGCTGTCCTAGGTACTTAACATTATGTCACAGTAGATAAGCCAACAGCATTTTTGAAATGGGCACTTTTTAAGCCTTGTGATACTAGTACCACAGAGGGCATCAGAGAAACAATATCGTTTTTTAATGTGTTGGGTAGTAATATAAGCTGAGTTTGCATCCCTCTCTCTGTCTTGTGTGTACATCCTTGGTTGTCTTTTGTCATCATCAGATATTTAAAACTGTTTCTGAATCATGTTAAATGAAGCTGGAATAAAAAAATTATATATGTATAACATGTAAAAAGTTCTGCATCACTATACCACTACTTCAAACACAGTGGAAGTCAGTAAAGTCAATTGTTGTCTCCAATGGCTCTTTGGAGAAGCACATAAAATGTGTCTGATGACATCTAATTTCTAATGGCAAGAAGCCCATAACAAAACACAGTGTTGCACAAATGACCCTGCTTGGCACTGAAATTTGGTGTCTCAGTAGAGAAAACAAAACTGAATAGGCCTGAGCACAAACTAGCTTTTGACCGCTCTGCTAGATATGATCGAAGCGAGTTGGCCAGGCCATGCTGAAGCAAAGAGGAGGCAGTAGCGGTGGCCAGAGGCCAACAGATCTGTTCTGTGAAAGCTTGCAAAGCTTCAAAATTTGTTTCCATTCCAATGCAGCATGAAAACTAAGCTTTTCAGAGATTTTCAGGAAAAAGAATGAGATCCAAATGCTTGTAGTTCAGCTCAGGATTAGTTTTGCTTTGACAAGAGTATGCATTAACAAAAGCTCTTTGGTGAAACTTTTGTATGGAAATAGATGTGAAAATGGCAAACTTTTTTTTTTTTTCGCCTAGCAAAGGAGATTTTGGTAAAAATAAATAAATAAATATCAAGCCAGCCAGCTCCAAAGAGAAACATGTAATATCACTGGCAACCTGCATCTGTTCTGTGGGCCGCAAGATGTGAATTTGGGGGTGGAGGGTGTCAATCTGGCATTGATTTTTTTCATGCATATAAGACCATTCCAAAGGGATTTTGATTTTTAAACTGCCTTATGTTTTTAGGAAGAAATGGGTTTCTCTGATTTGTTTTTTGTCTAAAATCCATGTTCTTTTATAGTTTTCAGACTGTATACCTTTGCCATCACCCTATGTACAAACCAGTGTTTGTTTAAAAGCTGGAGAAGCTAATGGTTTTATTTATTTTTCATGCTGCAGTGAAACAGAAAGTGGAGCAGAAACTGGAGCAGATGGGGAAAGTGCAAGGAGTCTGCCTGCACACTGCTCATGTTTTGTGTATGGATGCAGTCCTTAACGTGGGCCTGGAGATGGGAAGCCACAATCAGGACTGTTGGCCTCATGTGTTCAGGTACTCACCGGCTTTCCCAAAAGAAACAGAATTTATACCATGTTACCTGAAAGTAACGGACGGAGAAAAAGGACTTTACATGCTATGGGAGCATTCTGTATAAACTGTGTCAGAGTGAATTAGCTGCCAGTATCTGTAAGAGAAAAGGCAGTGCTGTTTTCCACCACTATTCAGAGACAAAATCAACGCTTAGAAACTGTGAAGTTACCAGAACACTGTGGCAGACCCAGGAACCTAAATGGGCTTTTCAGGCACCACCACTAAACTATTTGCTATCTAGGCACACGGCAGGCCAAAGGATGTAAGAAGACAGGTTATCTATGTGTAGTCTGAGAGTTAGAGATCATCTGTTTACGGTTTGAGGAAAACGTCTTGTGCATCATATCTGGTTCAGATGTAGAAATCAGTGCCTGTGAATTGGCAGAGGGTTTCCACGTAAGCAAGCTTCTCACAGTGATGGGGCTGTGAGGCAGCCGAGAGCTGTACTTGCACTGTCCTTCTGACTCACCTCTGGAATACAGACCCAAGCGTTTCTTCAGTGAGCCTGGTGATTAGTGGGGGGAGGAGTTGCTTTGAGGGTTTTATTCATCTTTTGCTTCTCCTGTTTGTTCTCAGGGTGTGCGAGTACATCAGCACACTGGAGCACACCCACTTCAGTGACGGTGCTGCCCAGCCCTCCCTTACCATCACCCAGTCACAGCAGGCACCTGGAGGGCTGCACCCAGACTCTGAGCCTGGGGAGTCTCCCCAGACACTGACCTCCGAGCAGGAGACCACCCTCAGCAGCAATCCTGTCATTCAGCCGGTTTCTATCCAGGAACTCATCAAAGAGAGCAGTAAGGGCAGAGCTTTTGACTTCCGTGGAGGCAGCCTGCTCTGTGGGACCAGTGCTGCTAAGGCTGTTCTCACACTCTCCACGCAAGCTGACAGGTAAAAGCAGCGCTGTCAGGAACCAGAATCCCTGTTCCCAAAACAGGACCAAAGGGGAACTTTCTGTGGTGCAGTGGGGCCTGATCTTTGTCTGTTGCAGCCACTTGCTTCAGTGGAGTTTCACAAAAGAGCTGTGTGTGTGTCACAATCAGCAGTTCCTAAAAGACCTGGTTTTCTGCATCTCTGCAGTACCTGCCCTGCAGGTACTGGGCTGAGTATGTGCACAACAGTGAATATGCCAAGTAAATCAAATGCATCCTGAGAGTGGTGGATTTATTGCTTGCATGTAAGTTAATCCGTTATGTTCATTAAAGCAGGCAAAACAAGTGGGTGTCTTGTCCTGACAGGAAGGGACTGAGTGACAAGACCAGTGTCAGTTAGAAAGCAGCTGCTTCTGTCAGGACTGTGTGGACAGCTTGTCAGCCTGCCCCAGTGTGTCTGGAGGAGGAAGGGCCACCAAGTATTGTCACAGAATGGCTAGATTACATGTCCCTACAACACGGTCTGCAGGCTGATACATCAGACTTTTTTGCTATTTCTGCTATTCTTTCGGCAGCCCAGGCTAGAGCTGAAAATTTCCTGGGTTTGCATGCTTCTAATACCTTTTTTTCTCCAGCTGACATTTTGCATTCTTGATCTCTGCCCATAGGAGGGCATTATTTGTAAATTCAGAGGAAAAAGTATGCATACTGACACTGCTTGTAGGAATTTGACTCTGTGCATGGAAAGTACCTTGTATTCAGGGGGATCACAATACAGCGTGGTTCCGAGGAATAGAGATTAGAAGTACTGTAATTTTAATGATGCAGGTTTGATTTCTGCATGTTACTTCAGTGCGGACGTTATTAGGACTCAATCACCAGTTTCCCAGGACTATAGAAAGTTTCTCGTTAAAAGCAACGTCAGAAAATCATATTTGTGTCAACTTGTGGCTTCACTATGATCTCTGTGGAACCACCTCCTATGTAAGCATAAATTTACTGCTTTAAGGGTACAGATTTTAACTCTTAAATCTTAAGAGCTCATTGCAGCTGAAAATAACAACTCTTGTTTATATTCCTAAATAGCAAATCAGGTACAGCAACTTCAGGTCTAAGACTTGAATTAATTTGTTTTTCATGTAAGGGGTTGTAACTTCAGATGAAGCAAACTGGTGTAACTCAAAAGTCAGTGAAGCTGTCATGATCTGTATTGTGAGGACTGGGCATATTCTCACTGTTTTTTTGATTACTGGTTCATGAACTGCTTATAGCATTAAGATACAGTAATGAGGAAGCGTCGATTCCTTAAAAAAGTGACTTTTTGTTTTAGTACTGCAGTTGAATCTTGGAAGGGCTCTGGTTGGTCCTACAGCACTCTACTTTCCACCCACCAATTAATATAGCTTCTGGATCAAAGTCTTTCTGTAGCACTGTGTAAGTGAAGAAGTCCTCAATAACCCAATGTGTCACCAAAGGCAACACATGGCAGCCATGTACAGATAAGGGTTTTCCTCTTACATACACATTCAAGTCTGCATTTCCTGAATTTTTCAATTAGATTCTGTTCTTTTACTCACAGGCTCTTTGAAGATGCTGCTGACAAGTTAAACTTGATGGCATTAGCAGGCTTCCTTTACCAGCTCAAGAAGGCTTCTCAGGCCCAGCTTTTCCATTCAGTCACAGATACAGTTGATTACTCCCTAGCAATGCCAGGTAAATAGCCTGAAGATCCCTTACAGAGTTCTGTGTTTCATATACAACTGTACTGCTTACAGGACTTGCTTTGTATTCTTCCAGTTTTAATTTTTCCAATTGAAATGTCAAGGTATAAATAAAACACAGTGTTTAGTCTGATAAGATCTTTCTGTAGGAGCGATTCAAAGTCTTTAGAAAAAGTTGAGCGCTTTTTTTGGACAGGGACCACATCCACACCTGCTATGAAACACTTGAGAGGACATTCATTTGGTTCTTGGACTTTGGGGGTGTTAATTATCCACAGATATTTAATCACAGCGCCATTTTGGAGTCCAATCCAGTAAGGAAACACAGGTGAACATAGACCTAAGACAGTGGATTTAGGTTAGACATTTGACAGTGGGATAACCTCAGAAGCGTTTGGAAAATGGGTGATAGCAAACAAAGCATACAACTGAATAATGTTAAATACAGCAGTGGGATTTGTCCTGCTTGCTCTTCCCTGGCAGAGTGGAGCATATACCTTACAGTATAAAGCCTGTAAATTGTCATTTCCATCACTGTCTCAAATAGAGCAGAAGGATTGGACCCAAAGGAAGATATTTCACTTAAATTTGTACTGTGCCTTTAGAAGTTATATTAGTCATATGGGCTTTGTTCTGTCCTGTGGCAGACGTGGATTTTTTCTGGTATATGTCTCCAATTTAATCGGTTTCCCCTCTCCCTGAAGCGCTACTTGTCATTTTGTCAATGTGACACTTCAAGTTGTTCGGTTTTTGCTCTTGCTTGTCTCCAGGCCTCAACATTCATCACTTTATTTTTAATAAATAGCGATCCTCTTATCACGTATGTAGTAGTCAATCAACAGTAGTTAGTAATAATGAATTAAAATTAGGATAGAGCAATTAATTGCCTTTTTTATTTTTTTCATATGAAAAGTGGTATGCCCCCAATTACGTCTTTTGTTAGAGATAAAAGCACCAGCATATTTTAAATGAGAGAATGAAGTGTCTTTCCAAATGTTGTAAGAACAATGGAAGATGAGTCCCTTTCAAATAGGAAATAACGAGTATTACTGGCTAGGGAACAGAAAAGTATTTTCTCACATTCTCTGCTTCGTATCCTTTGCTTGATAAGAAATACAAAAGGATAAACCAAAACTAAATAATTTGCAGTTTATATTCTTTCCTGTAGATGTCACCAAAGGCTTTTGCAACTACTATTTTGGGTCTTAATATCAATTATTTAACTCATTGCTTAACTTTTCTGCACTACTTCTCCAAGCCTTTGTCTTTAAAATGTTTGCCAAAAAAAAGATCACTTAAAATATATGTTTTAATAAGTTGTTCTTAAAACGCGGGCCCATCTCCTGTTCTTTTACTTACATAGGCTGTTTTACATTGATTTTTTTTTTCTTTTTTTTCCTCCACCACCCTCCCCCCTCTAACTGAGTAGTAGTAATTTCTAACCTGATTTAAATTCCAATTTAGACATCTAGAGATGGAGGAGCTGCTGTTGCTTAGCTTCCATTTATTTTCTTATACTTTCTTGTAGGTGAAGTAAAATCTACCCAGGACAGGAGAAGTGCACTTCACTTGTTCCGGCTTGGTGATGCCATGCTCAGAATTGTAAGGAGTAAATCTCGCCCGTTGCTCCACCTCATGCGCTGCTGGAGCCTGGTGGCACCTCACCTTGTAGAGGTAGGAGCGGGGGAGAAAATGGGAACGTGTGCAAGAGGTGGCAAAGCTGAAAAAGCTGGAGAAGGCTTGATAGACCCTCAACATTGCCAAATCTGGTTACACTCCCGTTGGAGTATTGTATATACTGTGACATATATTGTGATACTGCCACTGAGGAGTGCACTTTTAAATAACTGAAATGGGCAGGTCGAGGGACAGTGTGTTGGATTTTTGCAGTATGATACTTCCTGTGTGTCTGTGGTGATAAAACTGAAACCACCCTAAGAGGTTACAAGTAACTCCTCCATCTACCTATTTTCTCAGTCAAGGTCTGCATCCTTGCAAGTCTTCCCATAAAAGGATGCAGGCTTTCTTTTCCCACATAAAGCCAGCTCAGCTGGGAAGATGGTGATATTTTTCCCTTTCCTTCTCCTTCCTTGTGAACCCTGGTCAGTGGTATGCCAGTAGTGGCCACATAATGGATTTCAGTCATAACAAATTACCTTTCCTCAACCAAACTTTCAGTCTTGCCTGGTGAAATGCTGGTGTCTTGACTTCTCAGAGGTTTTTGATTTGTATCGTTGGTATGAATAAACGTGCAATACTTCCTTTCTTTCTGTTGGTGAGGTATGAGGTATCATCGGCCCAGGTCTATTGGGAGCATGCCTCTCGAGTTTTAAGATGAGCTGTTAGTAAATTGTCATAACACTTAATTTCATTGACTCAAGAAAATGTGTGGACTATCTTACAGCAGAGTTCAGACATTGGGGAGTCTGAGTGGAATCCCTCTAAGTGAAGTGGAAATAGCAAAGAATAGTTTTGTTGTATGCTTTAACAGCCCTTTATCTTGTAAACTAGTGTCTCACTTGCCTTTGGATGCCAGCCTGAGGCCACTTTAAATACTTCTCATGTTTTGAACACTTTTAAGTCTTTTAAGATCCCAAGCCAGTTTAAACTCAAGTACCTTCCATGTTTCTGGAATGCAGGGCTGGTCAGTCTTTTTGGTTGATTTCAGTGCAGATGAGGGCATTACTGGGAAGGAGCAACATCAGGGATAGGACAGAATTTAGCATAACCTGCATAGTTGCTCAAAACAGTAACTTTATATCCAGATTCACTGGTGTTTAATTTTTTAATAGCTCTTCCAAAAGTCATGAGAATCTTCTCACTTTAAGTTTCATAAATAACCAAATAAAAAGTGACATTTCGTCATACCTAGATAGGTATGGTGAATATATGCAGAAACTACCTTTTGAAGGGAAAGATGGTCACACAGTAGAAACAAAAGACTACATTTCACATGAGTTCTGTTCTGTGGGTTTTATTACTTAATTTATTTATTTTTAGCTCTGTGCTTTTTGAATTGTCAGCAAACCTTCATGCATCTGTGGAACACCAAGCAGCTCAGAGTCTGTCACCTGTTTCCATGGCAGTACTCTCCTGTTTTCATTGCAGTGGGGTTCCTAGTCACGTTAGTGGTGAA